CCATCACAAATCGTAAATTAATTTAAACTGTACACCAATTTTATTTTCAAAGATCTCAAACTTGTGTATAAATATCCACTCACAATTTCACAAGTAACAAAAGCTGTAAATATTTTACTGAAGCTTATATCCGTATTTCAAAGTATACTCAATTATTAATAGCGCACACAGAGAAAAGATCACCTCGTGTGTGTGTTTTCTTATCGTGATGCCATAGATTCACTTAGACATCGTTCTCTGTGAACTGACAGTTGCAATGTGTGTTATCGATATATCCATAAAAAATTCAATCCACCTGTCACCTCGAGGTGGGTTTATGATGGTACGACGAGAAATCACTTCAGGGAGAGAAAAGAGCATGCCAGCAACTATGGGAAAAAGTCCATCGATGTTTGCTTTCACTCGCTACAGAAATCTTGTTTACTCCGTGTCGCGCAATACACGTGCAGCCGGTGACTTGTTTTGTCGGATGTAACAATTTTCCTTACTCAAACAAACGCAAGAGTCGCGTAGTTGTGTCATATCACTCTCGCGCGTCCATGACGTTTCTGTTATTAAATATACTCGCGAATTACGTGATCGACGTTTTTCACATCCGCTTTGATATTCAATATTATGATAGAAAATCAAATAAAAATCGAAAAGAGACTAAAGATTCTATTAACTATTTGTAACGTTATCGCATTTATATTGCTGCAATAATAAAATTAATCAGTTACACATACAACTGATTAATAATTAATACTATATATATAAATCTCTAAATAATAATTTATAAAATATAAAATAATCTGCGGTAAAAAAAAATCATTACAAGAAAAAATCGGATGTTTTAACATAACTGAGATAAATATAGTTTTAAAAAAACAGTTTTTAATATGCAATGAAGATTTATTCACTCAACTTGTATCATTAAAAACCGTATTAAACTTGCTTTTTCATAAATATATTATATTAATCTCCCGAAAAATAACATTTTTCCTATCGATACTTTAATCAGTTTACTTTAAATAAATCTTAAAATAAAAAACAAAAATATTTTTACAAAAATCTACCAAATCCTAACAAATATGAAACTTTTAATTCAGCGGGTAGTTAAAGCACAGAAATGACGGTATCCATTGGGACTTGAAAGTAATTCAATCGCGGACAACCTATCTCGTAATGTTGTTTCTGCAGCTTTCTTTGAACTATCCGCACGAAGGACTTTCAGAAACTAATTAGTAAACGGTGAGTCAAAACGATCGTTTAACTTTGTAACAACGTGAAACCGGCAAATCTTGTAATTAACCGCCCCCGCTACTCGCTGTATCTTGAATAAAATTTGCTACGACAGAGAATTTCGTAACTCGGCCAGCAACTTTAAATCCTTTCGCATTGTTGTATGGAATATCCATATTAAATTACGTTCCTATTATAAATGATTAAAAATGATATAAAGCTTTTCTGTCTCGTTTAGCAAGTGTTCAGTTTTTCTATTTCACTTTCTTTCTCTCCTTTTCTCTCTTTCTCTTCCTTTCGCCTTAATTTCATAAAATATTTAACGACCAGTGTTATATTAATAATATAATTACTCTCCATTGTTATATTCTAAAATATAATTTATGGTGTACAAAGCAATATTAAATCTTTTAAAATTTCAGCTATTATATTTTCATAATTACTGTATCATGTATTTAAAAGAATATTAAATATTTAAGGCAATTTTATAATTATCGCATTTTCTAATATATAAGACATTTAGAATTACATGAAGCATTAAATGTAGATGAAAATACTTATCAATTTGATCAATGTTTAATATTAATAATCGTGAGAGATAGCTGTTCAACTTTCATCTGATATTGGAATTAAAAACGACGTTCATAATAAACAGTTAATATTTGGAACCATGGATAATGCTGGCGCTAATGAGGCGTTAAATGTAGATGAGAATACTGATAAATATGTTTAATATTATCATCCAATTAAATTAATCATAATCGCTGATGCAATATTCTTGTATATATACATTTTCATTCTGTCATATTTCAATACGCTATTTAGTAATGCTCGGAATTATTTTACCGACGTCTTAAAGTTATCAAAGTAATTTCTCAAGTTGAAAGTTAAAACTAGATTCAGGACGAGATGAAAGCGAATGTGACTTTAAAAAGGGCTTAATAATTGAGAGATATATACCGAAATAATCTCTGTCAAGGTTTAGGTTAATAATGAGAATGTATTTGCATGCTAATGACGATGTGATTGCATTTGGCGGATATAATTTATGCGGCTTAACGGATATATATGTTATTAACATTACGCGGGAGAGATTCAAATTTGGGCTTGTGCCGGAACGCGAAATCATTTCCACATACAAAAATGTATAAATCCGATGAGAGATATTAATCAATGACGATAATGTATGACCGCACAACCTGTGAAGCATTAATTAAACGTGTAATTGAAAGTATTATACTAATACGACTTATTATTACTCACTTGATTTCAGTGAAATTTATATCCTGCAAAAAAGCTTCAATCCGAATAATACGATTATGTAATATTTTTTAATTTAATATTTCAATGATTTTTAATAGCACATTGTTTCATATTCAATTAAAATCGCAATATATATAAATCAATACTCATTTATATAGAACGCAGCAGCAAAATGAGCAAAAAATATAATCGTTTATATCTCGCATCAAATATAGAATATGAGAAATTACTCTTATTTTTTTATTCCTAGATTCATAGAACACGGAATAACCAAATAAAATGCCAAGCATTGTTACAAAACACGATAAAAATTGAGCTGCAGAAAAAAATACCTTCTTTTAGCAAACAATGTATACGCATGTCTGCACAGAAAAATTCTTACCCGAGTTGAATGCTTTAACACAGTTGACTGAATAAGCAACAACCTTTGAATGAGACTGTTGAATCAAACAGGTACCTGGCTTCTGTGCACCCGTTTTTTCTCCATCCTTTATATATTCTGACTGAACCTTCGTTCTTATTGATTCGTCTTTAGATCCTTTCACGTTATCGATTAGACATTACATAGTGCATCACAATTTTATGTAACATAAAAGAAAATATCTCTTACGTGTTTATTACAATCGTTATGTTTTTTGCTTAATTAATTAAACCAATTTTATTGTATCATATAATGTTCCTTCGCTGCTAAATTTTAAAAAAGTAAAGAATTATAATTATGTTTCTTGTAAGAAAACATAAAAAATGGATCATGAAAAAGATATAACATTCATGTGTAATTGCCATATTATAACAACACTTTGCTTGTTCGCGGAACTGCATTGGATTAATATCTCCCTCTTTCTCTTTCTTTTTCTCTCCTTTCTCTCTTAATTTAATTTTGTTTTTAACAAACATTAAATTATGTTAATATATCCTGGATGTACTACCTAGGAATAATGACCAAAATTTGTTAAACAACTCCGCAAATATGTATTGTGCCTAGATCAATTTCGTGTTTCATTAAAACCATAACATATTCTCTAAAAATAGTTAAATCTTTTATAAGCAATTAGTGGATATTTAAGCATTCGTATAATTCATCGAAATGAATAAAATATTGTTTTAATACAAAGTGTTGAACTGTAATTGTTAATCATTTTTTTCATATTCAGAAAACATTAAATATTGCATAATTTTTAATTAACTCTTTAATTAATGAAATCGCGAATAAATATCGCGTTTTTATAGCTTGATTAATTGGAAGTAGACTCCATACAAATATAAATTTTATTCGATAGTCAATTACGAGAAGATTTACATTAAAATTGAAAAGCTTCGACGAGTTATGTATGCGCGCACACACACGCACGCACGCATGTATGCACGCACGCACGCACATACACACACATTCACACAGAGATCGAAGAAAACATCTGCATTTTTCAGCATTCGAGTATATCGCATCATCCGTGCATTTTTCAACGTTCGCGTATCGAACATATTACAGATATATGTACTCAGTCCCCAAGATAGTGGTCGAACTTCCTTGCAACGTTACTTACGGTTAGAGAATCGAAATCCTGTACGAAAGAATTTTTCTTTCCGATGGTCTTCCATCTTGTCTAGTATAAGAAGAATTCAGTATACATGTACGCACATAGATCTCACATATAATACCTCTCATCTTCGCACAAAATTGAAAAAACTAATCTAAAAAATCAATTTCAAAAAAATGAAAATAAAATTATCTATTAATAATTTAACGAAAATGCAATAATTATATTACTCCAGACAAAATAAATATACAAAATTTTCTTCGTTAATTATTTTTATGGCAACAATCATTCTATAAATAGGAAAAAATATACTCTAAATATTTTATTCTAAAATGATAAATCTGTTACACACATACATACATATATATATAAAATGTATTTAACATATTTTAATTTTTTTATCTGTTATTCTGTTTATTTAAATTTACTTTTTCAGTACTTTACTATTAACCAGCAGTATTTTAGTTTTACAAAATGAGATCCTAAAAGTGATCGCTCAAGGACATATATTTCACAATTAAAAGATCCAGGAAAGAATCGAGTTTAACTCGATCTGCCTGAGGCTATTACAAGTGCACGATGTATCCACCTACATGCAGAAGTGCCGCACAACATTATATTGTCACTGCACTCGCTCGCGTTTCGCAAATTTTCCATTGGCTTTTAAACGTCCCTCCGATCACGAAAAATGTCGAAACGTGGAGATCAAAGTTCATATATGTTTTTCTTTTTGTTTTTATAGGTGATAAATTTAAAGAGAGAAAAAGATAACAATATTATAGCCAAAATTAGAATTACGCGTTGTATTTAGTGATCATGATTGAGTTATTCTTTAAAACACAGAATCCGGATTATCGATCAAATTAAATTTTGAGCAAAAAAAAAAAAAATTGTTCCCTATTAAAAGTTCAGCAAAAAAGTATAATCAGCAAATGCATAATTTTGCAAATGTATAATTGTTTCTGTGATCCGAGTTTTTCGTTATCAAATTAAATATGTTATTAATTGATATTTATTAATGCATCTTAGTTATTACGGGAAAAATTTTTATGATTGTTGAAGGCTTTTTCGTTTACAAAAAAAGATAGTTTAATGCATAATTATTTCATAATAAATAATGCACGTTTTGATAATTTTTTTTTATTATTGTACGAGACATTTACATTAACAGAGCGTTGCGCGAACGTATATTTTAACGGCTCTATTTATTTGCTTGCACCTCATTATTAATATATATTTCCATTATTGCTAGCCAATATATAAAATAAAAAGTGAGAAATGTTAAAAAGAATTTTACTTATTTTGTAATAATGCTTGGATTCTTAATTATTCAAATTAAACGAATGCAGCACATAATATTCCAGCAAACAAGTTTTTAATTTGATCGAGAAATAACATCTATCATTATTAATCATCTAAATTAATGCATGCATTATTTTATGCACAAAAACTGTTTTTCGTTTTTCTCGCAATTTCTCAAATTTCTTGACGTTAATGTTTTTATATTATGCTTTATATTATACATTTTTTGTGTTACATATTATATTTAACATATATAAATGAATGGAAATAAGCCACATTAATTTATAGCTTCAAAATATGACGTTTCTCAACGTCAAATTTTTATGATATACGTTTGTTTTCATAAAACATGCAATAAAACATGAAATACTGGTATAAAGAGATTGTCATATTACTCTTTTATATACATATATAAAAGCTGAAAGCTGCAACGTTTGCAACGAGTTTTAATGCAGGATGGTCGTCCACTTTTATGTTCAAACGCAACCATAATCTCAGAAGCATTCGAGGTTTCTCTTTGCTCTCGTAAGAATCTCTATTAGATTTCATCGGAACGGCATCGTTCTTACGCTCATTCCGATCGCCGTGCAATGCGTTATCACGAGGATTCTCTGCTCTGTGACCGCGCAAAATTGCAAGAAAAAGAGGTAAACGGGGCAGAACGCTCATTTCGTTAAAAGGGGCTACGTTCGCATCCTGAGCTCTTGTTCTTAATGGATCACTCGATCCGTTTAGTGAAACGGAGCTCCGGAATAAGAACCGCTTTGCAGGCCGGCCTGCAACAAAGTACCGTTCTCATCTGGATCGCGGCGTGCATCCCGATTTCATGTCATCCGCGATGCATCCTCGTGCTTCTCAGGATAGGTAAACTTTGGTACTCATTGTCAGTAATACCTGAGCGAGACGAGTGCTTTCTACAAAAGCTACTGTACACAAAGGCAGATATTTATGTCAGAATAATCAAGACTATACATATCCGGACTGTAATAATATGTATATATAGATATATTTATAAAAGTAAGAATTAGAATTTATATAAATTTGTAAATAAATTTCTTGCTCTCTAAAAAAGAAATAATTATTATTTTCGATTAATTAGCGCGTTCGAACACCAATGATAGATAGTATTTTTGAAGAAAAACAGATTTGAAATAAGTGGTAAAATATAAGTGAAATAATAGAGAATTTGTAGCTAAAAACATCAATCTACTATTTTTTTCTCTTCATCAAAAAATAGTGTTTATTACATAATTATTTAAGAACCATATGTCGTTAAAAAAAATTTCGTATTGCAAACGTAAATCATATAAATTCTCTGTAATAATATCGATTGTATATCTTCTTTTCTCCGCCCACGATTGTTCCGATGATGTATAGATGAAGTGGTAGTGGACGAAACTTTTCTCGGCACGTTAAGATCTCGAAACGTGGAATACAAAGCCTGTTCTCGCGCGAGTAATTAAAAAACTTGCCGCGCACGTCGCAACGAGAGGAAGTTTGGTCGACCGAGTCGTCTAAATCATCGTCAATGTTCCGTAGAGATAAACGAGAAGAATAAGCTTTCCAGAAAGGCGGTATTGTCCTTTCTTTCGACAGTATCCTAATATTCGGTGGCCTTAACAATTTTCTTTCTTTCTATTACCATGCCATTTTTTTTACAACTCTTGAAAAACGCCCTGTAAGTCTTCACGACTCGCGTAGAGATGAATGGGTTAACCCATCTTTCGAAGAGTAACTCCGAAACTTTCGTTCAATGAAGATTACTAAAGTTTTATTATTAACATCGTGCAGTTCGGGTATTACAATAGCGCCGTTTTACGGCCGTTATACCGTTGCACGCGTCTTTGACGGAACAAAAGATGTTTTTCGCGCGCTCATTACGAAGTTGGAGATGACTTTCCGGATTTATGAACCCGTTCCTGCTTCTCTTATATGACTCGCATGCCAGCATATTCTTCGTAGAGTATCGAATTCCTCTATTTGTTACTTTTAGATTAAGAAGATGCACGCAAAGTGCCTCGATTATATTACTTTCCAGTTTTCTTTAAATAAATTAGTATCTAATAATACTTTCCAAACTATTTTGAATAAAATAAAATTGATAAATTTTCTTGAAAAAATATTCCATCGAAACAAGTACAAATTACAAGAATGCGTAACTCTTATAAAATCCTCTGTCAAGTAACATCTGTACGTGCATGGGAATTTTCGAATTCTCGCTAAGAGCAGGGAAGACGCGAAGAGATAACAATGAATAAAAAATCAGGCTAAGTATTCCTATTACGAAGTCGATTTCTAGAGGGCTTCGCTCGAGTTTCAAGACAGAAGTTAAGCTAAGGAGAGGAAGACCGAAGATCCAGGTCGCTGGATTGGCAGATCGATGGCGAGTCTGCGAAAGCACCGTGTTTGCTTTTCGATCTACCCTCTCTCTACCAATCCAACTGCACAGAATTGTGCACATAAAAGAGAGAGAAAGAGAGAGAGAGAGAGAAAGAGAATTTTCCTCTTCCCGCGCATGAGAACGCGAAGCGCTTCTTCGAAAGGTGTCGTACCTCTTCTACCAATCCGACTGCACAGAATTGTGCACATAAAAGAGAGAGAAAGAGAGAGGGAGAGAAAGAGAATTTTCCTCTTCCCGCGCATGAGAACGCGAAGCGCTTCTTCGAAAGGTGTCGTACCTCGGCTTCCGAAGCCACCGGAGATGGATAGCTCAGCGAATGGTTCTCGAGCGTCTTTCCGGAGCGGTCAGGTGACAAGTGCCGCGTATAGGTATCCGATTAATCCCACCGATATATCCGCGGCAGCGTTTTCTCCCCGAGACGCCTTCGTTCGTTCGACGACGCGGATAAAGCTCAGCGACTCGCCGAGGTGCCGGTCCCGCGATTTGTCAGGCCCGGGACCGCTAAGATCGTTTCGCTCTCCCGGCGATGCGAGGCAAAGCAAAAGAAACGACAGGGCTCGCGATGTCGTCCGTAACAGTGGACGCGTCCTTTCGGGTTCCGCTTCGGGTTTCCCCAAGAGAAAGGTCGTAGAAAGGAACGAGCGCGCTTTGTTACGAAGAATGTAACGTTTTGCAGATTTGCGTTGTCGTTGTATTCCGTGTGCTTCTTTTGTAGACAATCGCGTTTACTATAGCATCTGCGCATTGAATTATTAACTGCGATTCACTGAATCTTTTACGATTAAATATATAAATCGCATGTCGTGTACATTATATATCTGTTAAAAAATTTTATTTTCGAGAGAATATATGTTATATTCTACATGTGTTTTTTTAATTAATGAGAAGTTTTTAAATTATGGAGAATAAAAATAAAAAAAAAAAAAGATATCTCCTACATCCAAATATTACAAATGTGCTATATTTCTCTTTTATTATTTCCGTGTCCAAGATGGCACTATTCCAAGTCCAAAATAATTATTTCCTTTTTCAATCAATTATGGGAATTATAGGATCTATTCTGAGCTACGAGGAGCAAACATGAATGGAACCCCACGATTCGGAAGCCACGCTGTATCAAGAATACAGTTTCCTATGATATAACATGGTGATGATTTATCTGCCAGCACACGGACGGATTTCCTCCGTTTTTCGCCGCGTACGCCCAACCGTCCAAAATTAATTTGGTTCGCGGCTATGGCGCTTTTCCTCGCCGCCGTTGTTACGCTAGGAAGCAGTTTGTAGTACCGGATAAAAAGGGTGAGACGGTTAGCCGACGAGATTACCGGTAATCTTTATTTATAGGCAACGTAGTAAGG